TAATCAAAGAGCAACTCTCTTCTAGCTTACTGGATGCATTAAGGTATTAGTGCATGAAGCCAGAAAAGCACAGCAGCAATGCAGCTGTCCCTTTTGGACAGTTGGCATCAGGCACTCCTTCACTGGCAGGTTTCTCTCTCCGGCACTCAGTTTGGACTGAGACGCTTTGCTGAATAGATATACTGCTGATCGATTCCAATACAATCCAGTTTTTGCAATGGTTATAGTTACCAGGTACGTTCAGACGTGTTGATTTCCCTTTCATGGTCATGTTAGAAGCTGTAGTTCCTGCTGCCAGATTGCATAGCGTTGTACTGTGAGGGGTTTCTCCTATTTAGTCTCACCTCATTGATATATTCAGGACATAACAATGCAACACAATGTCCTTTGGTTGTGCAACCAGGCTACACAGGATCATTTATCCCTATCAACTACGTATTTAATATACAATGGGAAACTCACATAAACGCCGGCTAAAGCAACATAAACTACATTTATGTTTCCCATGATGACTGGAAACTAATTCAGTAGTGGACGTACTGAGAGTAACCTGTATTTAAATAACATAATAGTGTTCTGTACCCACACACCAAGGTTGTTCAGTACTTAAAGCAAAATGTAGAATATTAATACATTTTACTCTGTATACTAACAACTGTAAATACTTTAGAGAAACATGATATCTAGTGTCTAACTAAAGCTGAAACAATGAAACCACTCAGTTACATTACGTGAGTTTTGAGATTGGATTAGCATTGATTCGGATTAAGTTTCATGCTCTGGATAACTTGCATGTGTTTCTGCCCTGAGTGCCACGTTACCTTTATCTCTGGATCGCCCCCCCACCCTGCATGCACACAAAGAATTAAGGTTCTGATGCTTTGACCCTTAAACACCGGCGTTTGAAGCTGCACTCTGACTGACTCTGTGATTAAAACCGCCGGATAGCATTGTTCACTCGTCATGTCGGGAAAGATTTAGTGGTGAATATCTGAATCCTGATCTGTGAGTAGTACAACAACACACGGGTGCCTGAATGGAGACCGAACAATGCGGCATTGTGGGGGCAGCGACAGGCCTCGTTAGCTGCACCACATCCTGGTTATCTGATCTCCACGCGCCGTCTGACTTGTACCAACGCAACGTCTGACTCACCTCGGGGCTCAAAGGGTTGAGCTGTCAACCTACACGTCGGTGATACCAAGGCTGTGCTAACCTGTGAAACTAAAGACGTTTATTTGACCTCGGAGCTGTTCCGGTCAGGAGCGCGGATGGTGGTGTTCTTTTTAAGATCTTCATCCAGTCGTAGCGTAGCAATGTGGGACAAACAGGGATGCTTTGACATGGTCATTGTTATCACTCGCTCTGCATACCTCACTTTTAGTTTTTTTTGTCATATCCCTGTTCAGTTCATGGGGGACAAATCTGATTTAAATTGGTTCAGTGACTTGAAATTGAGGTGACTCTCGGCTCAAGCGACACATGACACAGTGACGCCGGACTGAGACCTGAAAACCAGGAAATGAGTTGGCAACAAGTGCGATGTGAACTTCGCCGGCGGGGTTTGGCTTACAAAAATACTCCTGGCGACCTGTAATGATCCCTTTGCCAGAATCTCTGTGGCCGTTTAGGTGTTATAGTTTCAAAATGTTAATTGAAAGGAACTTAAGCCGGTTAAAAAGAAGTTCTACAAACAGAATTGGCATATTTTCATCCGGTAAGGAGTTAAATGTGTTGCTTGTTCACTATAAACAAACTGAAAAAAAGAACGATCAGTCATATTTTTGGAACTCTTCCTTTCATTACAATCGTCTTCACAATAGTTTATTGATTTCCTCAATGGGGTTAAATGGATTAGCTCAAACGTTCACTACACTTCTCTTAATGCCTCTGGGGAGTGTTGCGTTATAAGAGGTGATTTAGAAGGCCTCTCGTACCAGACCCCCAACAGAAAGATCTCCATCAAACTGTTTGCTCCAATTAACTGACTGGATGAGTCGTACACTGGAGGCCTCTCCTCTCCCCTCTGCTCGTATTTTCACATATTTGATGTAAAGATAAAGAAAGAATTTTCCCTTCAGTTTAAACCACTTCAATCCACTCGGACGTGGTTTTTATCAGAAGTAGAACTCCATTCTGAGGAAAAGTTTCTTGCATCTCGAGGGGTTTGCGAAGGTTCTAAAAACAAAAGAAAAGTGAACTTGAGGTAAAACATAAAGTAAAATACTTCCCGTAAATCAGCTTCTCAATTGAAAGAACCTTTCATGTCCTGTGCATAACTCAAAGTCAGTTTTCCCTAAATAGTATTGCGCAAAATTCAACAATTAAAGATGTTCCAAGTATAAAGATAACCCACCTGAGGCGGAGAAACCAGTGGAAAAAGTCAAGGACATATTACATCACGTCATGACAAGAATTTTATTTCCTTTTTTTTTTTTTTATTACATTTTGCATTAAATTAAAGAGTTTTTTTTCTTTACAACATACATTAAGCTGTGAATCAGATGTTAAGGAAGTGGAGAGAGTAGGGCAAAAAACTTTGTGACGTCACAATATCTTACAAGTTTACAAAGTTCAAAAAGGTTGAGAAAGAGAGTTGATTCGCATCTAATAGCAGTGTATTATAACAAGGGTGAAAGACAAAAAAGGCACACACCAAAGAACCTCACTGTCCACAGCAGCCGTCACACCTCGAAACCCCGATCCACTCGTAAAAAAAACGCTCCAATCCCGAACCGACGTCAAACATCCGATGATGCAGAAACTCTACCCGCAGCAGCGCGGCGCCTCGTGACCCGTCTGCGGCATGCTGGAGTGACCATAGGGGCGGGACAGCTGTCTGAAGGGGACACCCGCCTCTCGCTTTGTCCCAAGCTGTTGCCCCCCGCCCCCCCCCTCGCTTTGCAACGTCAGCCGGCTCACACGTTCCCTCTCACGATCGCTGTGGATTGAGACATAGTTGGCTTTCCTCCATCGTGAAACAGAAACATCGCTTGACATCAAGAAAACGGTTACCTATCTACACATACAACACTAAGGGAGTGCTCTGTTGATTTTAGAGGCGGGGGGGGGGTGATGAATGAAAATCCTCAAGTAAAAACAATAGGACGAGATTAGTCCGATTCTCGGGCCGTTCCAGGAGAGTCAGTGGAGCGAAATGAGAACTAAGCTTTCTTAAACTCGTCTTACAAAAAAGGGGGTTCAGAAATGGTGCGTTTCCACCGAGCGGTACGGTACGGTACGGGTCGGGTCGGTACCCTTTTATTTGTCTCCACTGCCGTACCGTGCCACTTTTTGGGTACCCTTCCGTTGGGGTACCTGGCACAGTTGTTTGGTACTAAAGGGTGGAGCTAGACTCACTGCAGAACGTTGGTTGGTTGAAAGAGTGTCGTCATTTGCGCGTGCCGCAAGTGTGTTTTTCCTTGCAGCATGTAGCCTTTGCTCAAACAAAGATTGTCGTCTCCTTGTGACAAACAGCCACATATGGAGAAGCAAGAACTGGATCGGCTGTATGTCCTCCGTTGTTTGCGGTTAGCTTTCAGTTTTCGCGCGATCGAATGACGTCAATCTACTTTCCGTCATATACCACGCCTATCAAGTGAGGTTATCACTACTTTCTGGAATACGCCACGCCTATCAAGTAAGGGTACTGTTGGCGGTGGAAACGCTCGCCAAATCATGGTTAACAGACCCAACCCGACCGCTCGGTGGAAACGCGCCATAAGGTACAATTCTTTTTAAATTATTGATTTTGAAACGTCAACGTTCTCCACAGGAACCAGCCTGTTTGTGTGACGGCCTACAAGCGGGTGTGACGATGCACACAACCAAGCTAGTGGTGTGTTAGTCGTACACCGGGTGCCTGTGTGTATCCCACGCGGTGTGTTTTCCTAGTGTTGCATTATGATCGCAGTGTACCAGAACTGGCCTCCTCGAGTAACATATGTTAATTGTTTGGTTAATCAGTCAATGGACCATCACTTCAAACCAACAGACAGCAAATAAAAAACTAAGCGAAAATACCAGGACTTTAAAATCGTATAAAAAAAATCAACAACACTCACAACGTCTTCATCGACACTGCCAGCACAACATAAAGGGCTGCTTTAAGCACATTAATGGCACAATCAGAAATGAACCACAAAGTTGTATGTGTGTGCGTGTGTGTTTGCGAGTGGTGTTTTGTGTGTGTGTGTGTGTGTGTGTGTTTGCGAGTGGTGTTTTGTGTGTGTGTGTGTTAGAGAGAGACAGAAAGAAGGAATTGAAGTCCTCCTTCCTCTCCTCCCTCCAGACTGTAAGCGTGTTATGTCTAGGGACCAGAAGTACAACAATAACACCTACATTCTTTAATTTGAAATTTGATCAAACCAGGGGAATATCGTGATGTAAGAAAAATAAAAAATAAGGGATTCTACGAGGAGACAAAGTCAACAGCTATTAAAGAAAACGTTGTCACTACTTCAGGGTGTAAGGCACAAATTTACATGTGGAAAAAGAAGCAGGCCAGTTGTTTTTGTACTCTTCCTTTTCCCGCCTGCCCGTCGGCGTGGCATCGCCGAAGAAGAGGCGGCGGCGGCGACTTTCTGTACGCGTGGACACGCAGGCGCAGTTGCCGCATCTGCTTCTCTCTCGTTTAGCATCATGCGACAGCGAGCTTTAGACGGCACCGGTAAGCCAGTGACCAATCAGGACACACGTCACCGACTCACTCAAAAAACCACAGTGCTGATTGGGGGGGGGTTGCTCATTGGAGTCGTGAAAGGGTGAGATTGGGGAAGTCTTGCTATGTATTTTTTGTTCATGATTGGTCTAATACCTCTGGGATTCCGTTCCACGAAGGTAGAAGTCTGGCACAGTAAATAAATATCTCCTCCTCGTAGCAGAGGTCACATACATGTCGATCTGCAGGCCTCACTGAGCGCACAGTACGACCTAGCGGACCTTCAGTCATCAACAAAGTTCTACGGGCTCCAGTTTAATGACTTTAAATACGTTGGTTGTTTTTTTCCTTTTCCATACACATGATTCATTAATATTAAAAGATCTCTTCTGTGCTCTCCCTCTTCTCTCTCGCTGAGCCTAGAAAGTTTAGTTTTTTCAAAAGCACTTAATAAAAATAAATACAACAAGCTATTAGTATTAACAGTCATGTTATTCAGTAACCAGAACAATAGACGGTCTCCCCCGGCCAAAGTGTTCATTCGAAAAACCCGGGCAGGACTTGATTGCTGTAACACTGAGAGGCTTCTTCACAGTTTGTGACAAAACTCGGCAGAGACGTCTGTCCTTTTCAGTCCCAGCTCAGAGTGCTCGCTCGCTCACATTTGCCAGTCCTCAAGGTACTGTACAACTCTCCGGACCCCCCCCTCCTGCCCCAGTGCTGTCTGCTTGTGTGCTTTTTTTTTTTTTTTTTAATGTTATTTTTTTTACCATCGTGGAAGTCAAGTCCCGGCGGCCACAGACACGACAAACGAGAGAGCCACCGTCTGGGATGCTACAGGGCGCCGTCGCATGACGGGTCGTCTTCTGCTTCGGCAGCACGCACACACACACACACGCGTGTGTGCTCACACAGTCAGCCAGAGCATGAGCTCTGTGATGGGAAACAAATGACGACAACCAGTTGTATAATATTTACATATTTATATAAAAAGAAAGTGTTTTTGTAAAAAAAAAGAAGAAAAAAATAACTGTGTCGCACTGTACTGTACACCAAAAACAAACAGACCAAAAGAACACTAAAAAGAGATGCAAGTTGTACAGTATTCCCTGTTTTTTTCCTCCCTCTCGTTCGAAAAAAACCTTTCCCTGCTGTTCACATTGGACCGACCAGAAGAGTGACTGACTATGTGCAGGAGTCACTGGACTTGACTTTTGTTGACAGTGAGACCGCGGAGGGTTTCGGGGGGACGTCGGGCTTGAGATATTTGAGGCCCGTTCGAGGCAGTGACCCGTAGGAGCTCATTCCGGGCTGCCGTGACAGAGACACGCCCTGTGCTGTCATTTGTATCGAGTCCACCCTCTGAGGCGCAGGGGGCGGCGTCTCCACGCGGTTGAAGCTGTGGTGCCTCGCCAAATGGGAGGAGTTGGACGAGTTGGTGTTGTGCCTCTTGAGGGCGGACGATCCGGACGATCCGGACGCGCCGGACGCCGATCCCTTCCGCAGCCCGTACACCGATGAGTGGACCTCCAGGCGCTTGCCCATCTGCGGGACGGCCGGGGGGACGGTGAGCGAGGCCTCTCGTTGGGGCACGCGCGGCGGCATCACCCCGTCCGGATCCACCATGCTGAGGCCGTGACAGGGGCCCTTGACCGTCTTGTACTCCAGGGTGGCCCCCTGGTCGTCCATGACGCCGTGGCCCATGCCGAGGTCGCTGTGGTGGGGCTGCTCCACGTACTCATGCTGGTAGGACTGCTGGTGCTGCTGCAGGTGAGGCTGGAGCTGGTGCTGATGCTGCGGCAGAGGCAGGACCACCACGCTGGGGATGTGGCCCGGCGAGGCCCTCAGGGGCAGGTCCGTGGAGATGACGGGCGAACCCATGGGCGGCATGTCCTTGGTGCAGGCGTTGATGAGGTTCTGGTTCCTTTCCCACTCGCGGCTGCCCCTGCTGGGTTTGCGACGCGGCTGCATGGGGGTGGACTCGGGCGTCGGCAGGGCAGTGAGGTCCAGGTGGTGCTGGTCGGCTTTTATCAGCATCTTCCCGTTGGCCGTCAGCCTCCCGTTGTGCATCAGAGGGGTGAGGATGGCCTCGGGGCGTCCGTCTTTGGCCTGCGTCTCGAACAGGCCCGTCAGCTTGGTCACGCTGTTCATGGAGCCCCGGCGGAGGTGGTGGTGCGTGTCCTTTGCCTTGCGGCCCGTCAGGTCGACGTCCCGCCGCCGGTGGTCGCAGACGCAGTAGACTATGATGCCGGAGAAGATGGCGCCCATGGCAAAGGCGAGGATGACGGCGATGGCCAGCAAGGTCACGGGAACGAGCTGGTCACGACCCTTCTGGTAGCTCTCACGGATCACACCTGCAGAGAGACGCGGAGACGACATTGTGACTGGCGGAGATTACACTGCTGCAGTGCGTTGTGGGAAAGGATCTCTTGGAGCTGTTGGGAGAGACGCTTATTTTTAGACTAACAAAATAATATGAAACAATATTTAATTACTGTAATAAAAAATAAAAAAAGATTAGAGGTTTGAGTAATTTCATCAAAAACATGCAAATGCAGATGAGTGTATCCCATCATAAGGAATACCTTCTCAAACATTCAATATTTTGCGGAAAATCCAATTTTAGACTGAAAATGCGTTTTGGAGGGGTGATTATGTTTTACATTTTAAATCCTAGATAAAACCCTCTGCTGAAATGAAAAAAAGATGTGAGCGCTGATAAAGGGCGTCTGAAATACCCAAACCCCCTTTTCTCCTCACGGATGCAAATGGGAGACTTTTCATACATCTTGGATCCAATCTCATGAACCACAGAGAACGCATTAAAAAGCTTCTGATTAGGCATTAAATCCAATGAGCTGTATCATCAGTGTCTTGTTAAAGCGCCGCTGTCAAAAGGCACGCTGTGCTGCCGCCATATAAAAGTTAATTCAATAAATGCAGCTGCAAAGCATAGTGCTGGTGGGGGTGAGGGTGGTGGGGGGGTCAGCATGGGGCGGGTAATAAAATGGGGTCAACAACAATCCACACACACGCGCTCACAGATGATATCGTCCACCCTGATGAATGTGGACATCTAACGCAGCACTCTGCTTGGGTTAAAGACACCGGTCCACAGCAGAGAGATCTGCAGCGTGTTCACACATGACCCGTGGTCGGCACGGATCAGTCACCGCAGACAGGGGATTAGGCAGGTGGGTTCTGTCACGTTGAAAAGCTCCCACAATGCACCGGTGTTCTCTGTGAGGTCGCTCGATTACACGTGTCTGCTCGTATGATAGCATGTATTATTCACACTACATGTGGAAGACTCCCTGGATGTGTAGAACTAAGAGCAATAATGTAGTATTCATGTGCATCAATGGTATCCAGCTTCACATACGTAGTTGTGTTGCAGTGCGTAGAATAAGCGATGTGTGAGCGATATGAACTGTTTAACAGCTTTCAGCAATCCTTTGTATTTACCAACAGTATATCAAGCTGTCAAGGACGTATAGAACAAGAAGTATGTAGTTGTTTCACTTCATTCATGAAATTGGGTTTTAATGTCAGATTTTCACTCAAGTCACTTTTAAGAATGAAACGGAATTGTAACGGAAAAATAAATTGACCTACTGCATTGTGTAGAATATTGTTAGCTATGCAAACACAACTGCCACATGAACATTCATTGAGTTTGTTTTGTTCGCTTTTCTGACAAAAAACATGTAGCTACTCAAATCGAAACAAGCAATTGTCAACAAGGATATTGGTGCATCGGTTCTGCTTATATTAATTAATTCACTATCGTAATTCTTTTCCCAGAGAGTCAAAGAAGTGTTCCAATTTGTTCTGGAACTCCAAAAAGAAGAGGGCACAAACAAAGCGTTAGCTGCAATAAATCAGTAAAATCCTGAAGGGGAGTAATCGTGTTTAGCATTTTCATCTTCAGCGAGGACGCACTGCGATAATATCTCCTTTCTGCGTCTCCTCGGCGAGACACAACACAGACTCAGAGACAACGTGCTAATCTGTTCTCATGGAAGCAAAACCCAGACTGTCTTAAACCAACATCCATAATCCTTGCTCGCTGCAGTCATACTTCATTATGACCTAAATCGCGTAAAGCACTGAGCAATATGCCTGAGTCTCTGCTTCGACTCTGAAGCTCAACCTGGATTTAAAAAGAGAAAGAAAACTGTAACACTTTGTGTTAGTCGCTCCTCATTTATTGTTAAATACAAGCAAAACGTTCCTCTCTAGCGGAGTGCTGACAAAACGCAGCCGTAGCTCATTAAGTGTTAAACAAAAGGTTTGGGGAAAAATGTCTTTCCCGTGGCCAAATGTTCTCTTATCAAGGACGGGCCCTGCTGTGCAGATAGCGTGAGACGAGCTTTCTGCAGTGAAGCATTAAGGGTCAACCCAAACAGCCGGGCCTGTCCTGCTCCCAATCTCAAGCCTCCTGACAACCACAGAGGTACTTCTCCCGGCTGCCATCTTTCATTTTCTCTTTTCCTTTCCTTCCTCCCGCATCTCTTCTTTGTAGAAACAACAAATCACTTCTCAGACTTTCTCCGTGTTTCTTTCTTCGCGCTGTTCGGGGCCTCCCGAGCGGCGAGCGTTCCATTCAGCGCCCAAAGGGCTTAAATTAGAACCTGGCGCCCTTTGTGAGTCGTCGTCCTTTCGCTGTGACCACACAACGCTGGCGTAGCAGCTGAGTCGGAACTGTTCGAATGTATCGCCGCTGAATGTCAGAGCTCGTCGACCGGGGATTCGTGTTTTTCATTGAATGTCGACGACGGAGGGCAGCGAGGCCGAGCGCTCGTCCGTTCCGGTGCAAAGACCGCGGCGCCACGTCTTTGTCTCGGACTACGTGTGCGGGAGCCGACGCCAAAGCCCCTTTTTAACCTGCACCGCATGGCTCTTCCTGTCTGCTTCTTAAAAAAAACCCCTCTTCCTTTCTTTTTTTTCCTCCCCTTCCATCCATCACTCACGTGCTTCTCGCTCACACACACACACACACACACACACACACACTTCCGGATGGTACTTAGCCAGAGGCCTTTGGGTAAAGCGCATAAGAAAGAAAAAGAGGAAACGTTTCGTGTGTGGAGTTGTTTCTCGCATCACATCGGAGAGAATGAACGCAGCCACGGAGGACGCCTTGTTGAACCACAGCACTTCAGGCTGACACGCCGAGCTCGCGATGTTCCTGCTTTTTTCTCCGGCCCCGTCGTTGCGACCCAGGCAAAACCTCTCAACAGCGTGACCTTGGGAAGTATCAGTGTTGCTTTGACCCGCGGCCCCTCCTGCTCGGGTCCCGTCTCAGCGAGGTCCTGCAACTCTCGCCTTCAGCCCCAGAACGAATATAAATATCCCAACGCCTCGGGCCTCAGCATTCAGATACTAAACACATATCTCAGACACGCTGATTCTCCGTGTCAAAACAGTTGATTGTGAAACGGGGACATTGTAATTGCTGTGGCTGGTCTCTCTCTCTCCCCCCATACACTCGTTTTAATCTCCTCAGAAGCACCAACTGACTCGAGCCCACAGGGCCCGTCTTTGTGCTGGTGTTGGGGAATCTTCAAAGGTAGTTAAACATCACAGAGAGGTCACGGCGAGGCCCATGACCTCTGACTACAGGCCCCTGACACAAAGACACTGTCTGCGGAGCGATAGGAATCTTAATCAGACTTAACTGCGCTCACTGATGTGCCACTTGTGGAGAGTTGGAACCCTGGACCTCGACAAAGAGAGATGAAGACGTATGTGTGGCTATACGGAGCTCTTATTTGCCTTGTTGTCATCTTTTTTAAAAAAAGGACAATGCTGTTCATTATGTTGTGTATAATCCCCGGTTGGGATATTATCCCATTAAGTCTTGTGTATGTTTACGTGTTGGGAGGCACTCGATGTAATGGTGCTATTCAATATTAAAGCTCCTACTGATGAGCCAGTTCATTTATAATTAAAGCGCTAATTATATCATTCTGCGCCTCAGGTATTAACACCAGTGAACTAACCTATCCACCTCTCTGCATACAAACTGTAGTATTTAATGCTCAGAGGAAATAACGCTGAATTACTTGGAGCTTAATCATCAGCTGTTTGATGACCGAAGTTGACACCAGCATGGGTTTTTATTAATGGCTGATGTGAAAATTCACTGACCAGCATGAACCGCACGGCCAGAACAATTCATGCCATTATATCTGAATTCCATCCATCACGTGTCGCTGTCTCCAGCAGCTCCATGACAGCGCCGCTTTACTGCAGGCGGTCAAATCCAGACAGAAAAAAAATGTTTGTATACTTGTTCTCCTCCCTATAAAGCCCGATCCACTGTCTATGACCTATCGATGTGCACTCCATCATGCCATGACTGCTGAAAATGTGTGACAAGATTCTGCCTTCTCTGTACGACTAAAGTGAAAGGTTTTAGAATTCATCCAGTGAGAATAGATAATCACTGGTGAATGTTTTCTTATAGAAGGGGCCCTTTGTAGTCGCCCCGGAGGACAGAGGCTGCGCTGGTATCTACTTGATGAGTAGCTCACGCACGGACGGCCGAGGACGTGACCATTTAAATTCAGTTCAAAGCAGAATAATGACAGCTGGATGTTGGTTCGACAAGCTGCAAAGGCACAAGAGGATGAGCGGTCGTGATACGAGATTCACGCAGGCCGAAGAAGACAAAGCAAAGCTTTTGTATGAACCGGCGCGAGGCGGGACGTCTTACTGAAAAGCATCATCAAAACATTCAAATGGAAAAGTGAGCAGCAAATGTGCGTGGAAAACAAAGAAAGCGGCCTGCGAGAACAATAAGCTAATCAACGGAGGAAATTATGGCTCGGAGCTTGACGTCAGTCGGGGAAGTGCGTAACGCCGGGAAAACATCCAGTCCAATGTTTCTGTAATGATTAACAATGAGCTGCAAATAATTCCTCTGCCTCACAGAGATCCATCACAATCTCTGGCCGGCATACAACAAAATCCTGCTGTTAAAACACTAATGAAGGTGTCCTACTGCCAGGATTATTTAACAAGAACACCCTGTTATTCGTTTGCTACAGTGCAGTCGTCCTACCTCACCAACTCTAGACCTAAAGCCTATCATCCTTCTTTTATGGGATTAACCTAAATCCTATCATTCTACTGCAAGGACATACGAAACTACCAACATTAAATTAACCAATGTGCCCAATCGCCCTCATAGGCCCCTAAAAAAGTCTCACCAGCCAAATGCTTCATCTGACAGTTTGTGTTAAACTAAAGCGTCTAATCTCGTCGGCTCGGTTCCATGGACGGGTAGTTTTAAAGGAGAGAAGTCTCTAATCAGACAAGCAAGAAATCCTTCCTGCAGCCTTTTTTA